AAAAAAAAAAAAAAAAAAAGAAAAGAAAAGAAAAGAAAGAGAGAGAGAAAAAGAGGCAGGAGTCAGGGAAAGGTACATGATTGAAATTTGAGGCTCCAAAGAACCAAAAATTATATTATGATAGCCTGCCAATTGGGCATTTGAATGTATTTGATCCAAACAAAGAAATGCCTGGAATCTTCTACTATTCTTAACCAATTTAAAGTTAATACCTGCAGGTACAGGATTGGAACTGCATTGGAATTACAAAGCAAATTCCGCCATGAGACCAGCTCAGCTCACACAGAGCCAGTCTAACCCGTCCTCAGAGCACCAGTTTAGTGCTGAGCACAGTGACACAGGGGAAAGAGGTGGGAACTGACAGCAGGAAACTGTTAGGCAGAATACTCGTGACTGGCTCCTGTAAGCCCAGTCTCTGACGAACAGGCACTCTTGCCACCCATTTCAGTATGACGCTTATCTTTCTCAAAGTACGTTTTTTACATAGAAAACCACACCATCATGGCGGAAGGGAAAATAGCTTGAGATTGCCTGTTTTTGGAACTGATATCTCAAAGTTCCTCAGTGTTACCATAGGCAACTGGGACTTCATTTTCAAACTGCACACCCATGCAGGTATGCACACATATACTTACACGGGCAGAAATGCCAGGAGCAGAAAGCAATTATGCAGATAAAAATGTCTTGTATTATTATTTTTTTCTTCAGAATGTGAGGGCGAAATTATGAGAGGAATTATTTAAGTAAAAGCAATGCTTTTTATCCCAGGTGCCAAATGTAACAACACAGATACAGTGCAGAGAAAGGAATGCATTAGGGAAACATTGCTTCTTGTTGCTCACCTGTACAAGAGAAGTCATCTACACGAATGTACCCTGGGACACAGTCACAGCGATATAATCCTGGCAGGTTGACACACACAGTATTGGCATGACAATAATGCATCTTAGCTGCACATTCATCAATATCTGAAGGAGAAAGAAAAGGAAACGGTATCTGTTTAGTGGAGTAACTGAACCAGAGTGTAATCATCCAGCAACGAAATTACAAAGGTGAATGCGCACTGCAGTCGAGAGAAAAAAACAAGACGCATTAAAGACCAGAGCCGAAGCACAAATTAAACTGATGCACTTGATGCTATCCTGAGCTGAAAGTATTTCTAGAAGAATGCCTGTGAGATGCAACAGTTAAGAACCCAAGAAATAGGAAGACAGAATCTATTATTAATTTCTCACCAAGGAGGAGGGTACTGTATTTAAACGTCCAGATTCAAGGAGTTCTATGTCCAGGGAGCCGATACCAATTAATATTTACTGGGCATCTACACTACACGGGCAGCTCTTTCAGAAAGACCGAGAGCATCCAGCCCCTCTGTGCTCAGTGTCGAACTAAGATGTGCTTTAATCCATCTGTTACAAAATGACGCTGCACCTAGTTTTTCCTATGTTGTACTGTGAACAGGGACAGCAGCTACGTTCTGATGCAAATGAATGCTTTTCATCTTTTGACCTGGGGATCTACCCTGTGCGATAGAATAACAAAGGCGCCAATTCCACAAAAACCATTGCTCTCCTTGGCATGGAGGTCAGATGTCATCTTCTTTTTTCTCATAAGAGTTTATGATAAGAATTAATACAACTTACAACTTTAAGTAGAGAGTTGGGTCTTCTTCTGTAAATTACACTTTAAAAAAAATGTTTATTTTCCTCAAATGATTTATCAGCAATGATTACAGAGGCAGATTACAGTGTGGGGATTCAAGGTGGAAAATGTGAGGTCTACTTGTCCTTCCACTGGTTAAGAGTCGATGACTGCATTAACACACACCCCTGCCGAGCCCAGGAACCCCATCCATTGTTCTTAGGGTCGGTTCCGGACCTAATGCTTGGTATCTTTGAAAGCATCATCCAACCTGATCCGCATGCAAATCCATGAGCAAACTACAAACATTTGTAAATTCGAGAAAACTGACATTCAGAGAAGTTAAATATGACGCAAAATCAACACATTTAGATATGCTAGACTTTGGATTTGAACCCATGGCCCAGCGTCTTGTTCATGATGATTTAGTTTCTGAACACACCTTGAAAATTAGTCAAATACAGTGTTTCAGTTAAAGTAGTCACTGATGCCCTAATACTCTTAATGACTAGAAACTAAGGATAAAAATGATGAGAAAACTCATTTATCTATTCATTTTTAAAAGAAAAGTAGGTCGATTTATTTCCTAATGAAACACACTGACATAACAGCAGACTGTTTTCAGTGCTAAAGACCTGTCAGGCTATACATAAAAGTTATTGTTGTAGAACTGAGGTCTGAAAAGGAGAACCACAGTTAGCAAGAGTCCTGTAACTATGACATAAAAGACAAACCACCAGAAGTTGGTGACAGAATTCAGGTACTCAACAACTTCCCAGGTGCTGGTCTCCACCTCAGAGTAGCTTCCCGGGGGGACCCAACCTGCAGCCAGAAACCAGAGGGAAGCACTCTATTGTTGCAACGACGGCACTAGAACACAGGAGCTGGAAAACTGAAAGATGGAGCTGCACAGTGGTGCGCTTAACATTCAAACTGAGTTGTGGGTGTGACCGTACAGGAGCATAGAAGAATAAATTACTAGGAGTGACAGGATGGACACACCCAGAGGAGCCAGATGTTGGGGAAGTTTGGTCTGGATTAGTGATGTCCATAAAATCTTACCCATTTCCTTACAGCACAAATGGACCTCTCCATCCTCTTCTAATTTAAGCCTGACCATATGGCTGAGTGTGAAATCTGAGTGGAGGCCTCTCACCTCCAGGTGGAAAGGTCAGAGCCAGCAGCTGGCTGACCACATTTCCTTACTCCTGTCTTCAAAAATCACAGGAGTGTAGAGTTGAACACTCCTTCCTACTGGGGCCCTCGGAGAGAAGCGGGCCACCAGACAAGTATGGTGAACCTGTTATACGATCTAGAAACATATCCCTATCGAGTTAAGCCATTCAGCTTCCTGCAACTACTACAAAGGTAAATATAAAAGGCAACTCAAAAAAAAAAAAAGGATTATGAAGATTGATCTTAAAAGATGAACAGGAATTAATCGGGTAGAGAATGAAGGTGGATAGCCAGAAGGAAAACTTTGGAGAATGAATTTTTCTGTAGAGTTAGAAGGGGGAGGATCACTTAATCATAACACCCAAAGGATATTAATTAACCCACTACTAAGCCCTGAGGTAAAGTGATGAACAAAATGCCATCCTGGCTTTCACAGCCTAACGAAACATTGAAATAAACCCACAACAATGTCACCCAACAAAAGAAAGAGATTTGACTCCGAGGAGGTCAGAGAAGGATTTGCTATGGAAATGATATTTTAGCTGAGATCTGAAGCAGAAGTGACAGGGATAAGAAGGAGAGAAATAACAGCAGACAGAGAAGAACGTCTGAGATGACTCGGTTACAGAAAGGAGCGTTACCTATTTGATATTTACTACGAAGACAAGCTCCAGGCACCTCCTACCAGGCCTTGTAGGCTACACGAAGAAGCCTGGGCTTTAATCAGGCCAGTGACATAACCCAATTTCTGTCATTAAAATATCACTCCCACTGCAGTGAAGACAACCGACTGGGGCAGGGCGAGCTGAAGGCTAAATCACATCAGTCTTTTACTCACAGAAACAAGGTCAGGCTGAATTCGCCTTCACTCTGCCGAGGGGCCCCGCCATTCTTTAGGATGAGAAATCAGTCAGGAATTGCCTTAGAGGCAGTTCGATCTTCACCCACCAGGGGCCACAGCAAGCAGGCTGCTGACTGCAATGAAACGCTTCCCTGTCACGGAGGCTTGTCAACTCCCCCAGGAGCCTCCTGGCGCATTTCCCATTGGCCACTGGGCAACCGTTGAGAGGCCTCCACCTCATCTGGATTGGAAGAAGTTTCTGCCTTTGATGCCAATCAAACAAGCTATCCCTTTGTTTCACAGCATTCTAAGGCCTTCAGTTAAGATATTTTCAGAAAAATAGACAAAGGTATACTTAGAAGACCCCAGGGAGAATGGCTCAGATAGATTTAATCCAGTCTTTGCTCTCTGCAAACCATCCTGGACCCTGTGGCCATACATCCTTGCTGCTCTGACGATGTGTCTTAGAGTAAGTTTTGTTTTCAGCTCATATCATTTGTAATTGTGGCAGAACTAACATACAGCAAAAAAGTTGAAAAATGCACCAGAAAATTAAACTATCACAATGTTTTCTTTGTTGCTTATTCTTCATGATGAAACCACATGAAAAAGACAGTGCCTGGCCTAAAAAGAAGGGAAGAGACAAAGAAAATCATTCAGCTGAGTCTCCAGACACAAGATGATGGAGGAAATGACAGAATTTGCAACTTCATAGTTTCAGGATAGGGAAGGGGAATGGAAGAGTGACAGATTTGCCAAAATATAGATTGCTGCTTCATCTCAGAAGACACAGCCCAGCAGACAATTTCAATAGGATTCAAGAGTGCTTCAAAAAGGAATCTGATTAAAAAGAGAATGAAAACAGAATTAACATCTTCGGAGAGCTGGGATATCCTGAGAAAACAATCTCAAGAAGAACAAAACACTGATTTTTAAAATGAGCTAAGACAAATTCTGCTTTACGCTCACAGAAATAGACTCCAAAAGGTAATGAATAATGTAGAAGAAAACAAAACCTATAACTCCCTACTGAAAGAATGAACCAACGTTCAGAGGCAGAGAAGGAGTGGCCCCACAGCAGAGAGGATGTTACCTGCAGACCTGAGCTGCCTTCTGAATTCTGTCCGACCCATGAAGGTGCTGCCTCTCCTGATGTGCTGTTCACCCAAACTGAAGGCAAGAAGGGGCCAAGCCTGAGGCTGAATCTCAGGGCACGCGTTGATCCCACTCATCCACACTCAAGCTAAACCTCTCAATCAGCCGAAGAAACTGTCTAGGAAGACCTGCAGTTAGCCTGACATCTACTAGAAGGACAGAAGGACTTCAAAGGCACATCTTTAGTGCAGGGTGATATTAAGATGAGTAAGAGGCTAAACAGCATGTGCTTAGTAAATAGTATGAAACAAGGGTCAGTCCCTAGTACCTGATAGCCAATAAATGTCTGTCAGTTTTAGGCATCAGACACCCCGTCAGGGTGTCATCATTCAACTCACTCTTCCTGAGCGCTACAGAAGATAGGTATGCCACGTTGTGATGAGTAAACAGAGGCTCAGAGATTGTTAGGTCCCTCGACCAAGGCACAAAATGTTCAGCATACAAGGCGGATTTGGATCCAGGAAGTCCCGCTCCTAAGTTGACATTATTTCTACCGGGCAAGGTTTGCCATTCAATGACACTGCAATAATGCTACAGCAACATTAGCTCTGACCCAAGGATCCATAGCATCTATGGAAACAAGCAGACTTCCAAATTCTACGTCCATTGTGCAAAGTCCTTCACAACTTTTATTCCAGAGTACAGTCTTGGTTAGGGTGGTAGCTTGGCCCCATGCATCACAGCTTTCTTGGCTCTTTTAAATCAATTTCCAATATTTTCACACATTAGGCTCCAGTGACCCAAGGCCCAGAACAGGCAGATATGTGCATTCTGTTTCCAGCAGGAGCCCATAGCCCGTGACAGCCTCATTCACAGGTGCTTAAATGGCTGAAACTCTCCGGTAGAACCAGAAATTAGTGATAGAAAAGCCTAGGTTTTTATATTATTATTAAACATTGTTAAATCAACATCTATAAACTTCTGTATAGATCAGCCTGAGCATACTGGAGTTCAGATTGTGATTTATCCTTATAAATTGCTTGTCGCCTCAGAAATATCAAAGCTCATCTTCTGGTGGTCTTTTGAGGTCATAAAAATACATGATTTATGTCCCCAAGATAGCAAAGTACTTTGTTTTCATTTTTAAAGGTACATTTATGGACTTTAAATTGAAACTTGATGTGGCATAATAATTCTTCATGTATCATCAGCCAC